GTGCTCAAGAATATCAAGTCTCAAGTCGGGCACAAGCTCCAACAATAAGAGTCAAAGAGACGACAGAGGAAACACATGGACATCAGTTCCCTTGCTGACTGTACCAGTCAACTGCTCACAGCTGTAAAGTAGCTGCAACTGTTCCTCTGCACACAGACAACAGTGTGAACAATGCAGCAACCACTTTATGGGGAATGCCTTGTACCGGATATTTGCTTGCATCATCCAACTGACATCATTTGGATATTATTAGCATGAAGCAATGAAGAAAATACACACTTGCATATCCGAGAATTAATCAAGTTTCCTCTCAAGTGTGTTGCCATCTTGCAAGTGACTTCCAGGCTTCAAGAACAAAGAACAATATAATGAAGGACCAGTTTCCAGCATTGTGTTATTACATGTCCTTAGTTGTGTTACACTTTTGTTAGAGTGATTTATTTGTGATTCATACTTAACTTAGTTAGAAGCATTGTGTAGGAAACCATTTGTAAAAGCATAAACCTTTGTGTTTGTATCTTAGCTAGAGTTAGTCGAGTTGTGAGCTTTGTAATAGAGTTATTACAAAGAGGCTTGTCATAGATTTATTACAAGTGAGTGAGGGATTAAGAGTTTAATTCCTAGGTTACAATAGGTTGTAATCAAAAAGTTGCTCGGTTAGTGAAGTTGAAATCCTACGAGTGTAGGTCGTGGTTTTTAATTCCGTGAGCTGGGAGTTTTCCACGTAAAACTCTGCTGTGCCATTTACTTATCTCTTATTGTGTGTATTTTGTGGGAACTGAGTTCTCTATACAGTTTGGTAGACCCTAAATTTCTACAATAATACTATAAAGTAAATTATTACAGCAATTAAAAACAATTTAATATGTTACAAATAAAAATTCCGCGTCCTCTCCCATAAAATGACTCCACTTTACCACTGAACTAAAGGTCGACAACGTTCGAAGTGGGTTCATTTTTAATTACATATAGTCTTCAGGTATAGTTTACACGTATAAACAACATAATTTCGCGGTGAAGCGGGTTCGGTTGAACCCATTGATCCTACGTGGGTCCGCCCCTGAATACGGGTAGTATACACATTTTCAAGTATAAAATGCCGATAGTATTGATTGGTTAAATGTTGTTTAAGAAAGAGAAATTTAGAAAATGTGTTGGAAATACGTAAACTGTATAACATGGATGTTTGCATGTATCTATATATTTTTGTGGGGGTGGAGGGGGAGGGGGAGAAAATTAAATGTTGGGAGATGAAGAGTCTTGTGTATTATATTTGTATTTTCATTGTATTTATGTGTATTTTATGTTTATACAAATAATACGATTTAGTGTGTATACAAATTATTGTATTTTCTTCCTTTCTTAAAAACAAATACGGTATACGATTTCATATACTTCCTTCATATCAAACCAAGTCAAGTGGACACTTTACCCTATCTAAAAAATGGATTCAAACCAAGAAAATTCGGCAGTGCAAGAAAATATGAATCCATATCTACTTATTATTTATATTTCATAATTAAATTGCTAATATATCCCAAAATATAACGATTGGTGTCAATTGACTAGTGGAACCATAGTAAATATAATTATATGGTCGTTATCAATATACGCATGACCTTAATGAATAAAATTTATGTGGCTACTATAACACACACAACACATCACACACACACACACACACCACACACACACACACACACACACACACAACACACACACATATATATATATATATATAAACGTTCAATGTAACTATATATAAAGCGCAACAATATAATTAACTAGTCTCAATATCTACTTATTATTTATATTTCATAATTAAATTGCTAATTAAATCCTAAGATATAACGATTGTGTCCAATTGACTAGTGGAACCATAGTAAACGCAATTTGTGGTCGCTATCAATATCTACATATTATATATATAGTCGTTAAATGTAACTATATAAAAAGCGCAACAATGTAATTAACTGGCATCAATATCTACTTATTATTTGTATTTCATAATTAAATTTCTAATTATATCCCAAAAGTAACGATTGGTGTCAATTGACTAGTGGAACCATAGTAAACGTAATTACATGGTCGCTATCAATATACGCATGACCTTAATGAATGAACTTATATGTTGGCTACTATACACATATATATAGACGTTCAATGTAACTATATATAAAGCGCCAATGTAATTAACTAAGCATCACTACTATTATTTTATTTCATAATTAAATTACTAATTATACCCAAATATATATCGATTGGTGTCAATTGACTAGTGGAGGACCATAGTAAACAATAATTTATGGTCGCTACTCAATATCACTTATTATATATATATATATATATATATATATATATATATATATATATATAGACGTCAATGTAACTATATATAAATCGCAACAATGTAATTAACTAGTATCAATATCTACTTATTATTTATATTTCATAATTAAATTGCTAATTATAACCCAAAATACAACGGTTGGTGTCAATTGACTACTGGAACCATAGTGTGACGACCCAAAGGGTCATCACATGTTTTTAATTAATTTTGTGCTTCCGAGGCCTTGAAAACCTCATTTAGAGTCACCTCGAAGTGTGTGCGCGATCCGAGCAGGTAGCCGGAAAGCTTAAATATGAAATTCTGTGAAAAATGCTAAGTTTTGATCTTAAAATGAATAAATTTGACTTTTGTCAGTATTTTGGGTAAACGGATCCGGACCCGTGAATTGACGGTCCCGGAGGGTCCGTAGAAAAATATGGGACTCGGGCGTATGCCCGGAATCGAATTCCGAGGTCCCGAGCCCGAGAAATGATTTTTTAAAAGAAATTGTTTTTCTGAAATTGTTAAGGAAAAATTGAAATGATATTTGAGTAGAACGTGTTGGTATCGGGCCCGTATTTTGGTTCCGGCGCCCGGTACAGGTCTTATATATGTTTTAAGTCCTTCATGTGAAATTTGGTTGAAAACGGACGTCGTTTGACGTGTTTCGGACTTGAATTTCTAAATTTAAAACTTAATGAAGTTTGAGGAAAAACTCTTGATTTTGAGGTTTGATTCATTGTTTTTGATGTTATTTTGGCGATTTGATCATATAGATAAGTTTGTATAATGTTGTTGAGTTAGTACATGTGTTTGGTTAGGAGCCCCGAGGGCTCGGGTGTGTTCCGGATGTGTTTCTGAAGGTTTAGACTTAGGAAAAAGTTGCAGAAATAGTTGTCTTCTGTTGCCCAGTGATTTCTTCTATGCGATCGCATAAGCATAGAGCAAACTTCAGGGGTTCACAAATTGTTCTATGCGATTGCATTCTTCCCTCCGCGATCGCGTTGTGTAAAGCCCCAGCTTTTATTTTCTTCTATGCGATTACATGTTATTGTCCGCGATCGCAGTGCCCAGCAAACTTTACCCTGTGCGATCGCATCCCTTTGTCTGCGATCGCATAGTCCAAATCCGCCCAGTTATTTTAAGTTCCAAAAACAGAACCCATTACGGGATTTCTCAAATTTTTACAAGACTTCTTCTTCTCCAAAGCTCTAGGGCGATTCTTGAAGCTTTCCTTCACCATAATCTCTTGGGTTAGTAATCTTAACTTATTTTCTTCCACTTTCATCAACATCTATTGAATTTCTAGGCCTAAAACATGTGATTAAGGGTAGAAAATTAGGGATTTGGGTAGAGTTAGGGCTTTTTGATTTTTCTTGATTTAGACCTCGTTTTGGGTTCGAATTTGAAAATAAATTATATATTCGAGCTCGTGGGTGAATGAGTGATTTGATTTTGTTCCGAACCTCGTGTTTTGACCAAGCGGGCCCGGGGTCGATTTTTGAGTTTTGGGGAAAAATGATGGAAAAGCTATAATTAGGCATTGGGTTCGCTATTGTTTAGCATTTATTGATTTATTGAAGTCATTTATGTATAGATACAATTGATTTGGAGCCGAACTCGAAAGGAAAAGCGGTAATTGAGGATTGAATTGGCCGTGGAAGTTCGAGGTAAGTGTTTGGTCTAACCCTAGCTTGAGGGATTAGGAGTTGAGTCTTATTTGCTAATTGCTTCTTGTTGAGTACGACGTATAGGCATGGTGACGAGTATCTATACGTTGGTGTCGAGCATGACCGTGAGACATAAATTTATAGTTGTTGTGTTCTTAAATGACACTTCAAATGCTTTAAATTGATGACTCTTGATATTGAGTAGAGATTTAGTTTATTCTCGTGGACTTTATTTATGTTTGAGTATTTGTACTAATCGAGCTGAGTAAGAGTTGAGATAGGATTTGGTTATAGCTGATTCTCCCTTGCCGAGATGGTTATTTTGATATTGTTGTTCCCTTGCCGGAAAATTATTAGTATATTGCTTTTGTTTTCCTTGCCGGAATTTTTTTTGTGACTTTGTGTTGAATTGAAATGGGAGCCGGTGGTACGCCTACCACAAGTTTTTGATTGAAATGGGAGCGGGTGGTACGCCTACCACAAGATATTGATGAAATTGGAGCGGGTGGTACGCCTACCACAAGATATTGATGAAATGGGAGCGGGTGGTACGCCTACCACGAGTTATGACGAAATGGGAGCGGGTGGTACGCCTACCACGAGATTTGATGAAATGGGAGCGGGTGGCACTACTAGAAATTACACCTATTGCATCGGTTATTTAGCAACGGTTACCCTTGCATTAGATGGCCCATTGCAAGGGTTACAATTGTCGCAATAGCCTCTTAGGCCTATTAAGAGAGTACTAAAACTAAGCCGTCGCGGTAGTACCATAACCGTTGCCACAGAGATGTCTATGGAGACAGTTTGGTAAAATAAATCTGTGGGGACGGTTCTTTCTAAAAAATATTATTGGGACAATTTAGTTTCCCTCCAATAATTTTACTAAACCCGCGAATGCTCATTTTTATAATTAAAAAGTAATACCAAAATCTAAAGTATACATATCAAAAGAATGGTCTTCTTACGCCTCTCTTCATTGAGAACTTCATGAGAAAAAACCCTCCAGTGAATTGAAGGCTTCTTCAAACCCAAATCCAGCAAAGGAATTTTTCGACCAAGTATACATATCGTTCTCTACCACAATAGGTGTGTATGATTCTCTCCTACATGGCTTAAAAGTTCTCTGTCTCTAGATTTACCATTCAAGGACTTTTGAAAAAGCTTACAAAATACACAAATGGGTTTCTATGAAATCATTATGTTTTGCTCTAATTTATGTTTGATGTTTAATTTTAGTGTGGTTTAAAGCTTTTATCTCAAATTTGGTAAGGATTTGAGAACTCCGTGAAACATTCTGTGATAAAAATAAAGAAGATTGCTTAAATTTGGGGTTTTAGTAAAATTGGGGTTTGAGAAGCTGGGTTTCAATTCATTGAGCCAAAATTTTGTTTAAAATTGATTTTGTACTAAATATTGAGTCTACTGCTGTTTGGAAGGAAATTAAAATGAGAAATACCCTTCGAAACTCCATCGTTGAGGTCGACAAAGTTCTAAAACTTAAATAGAGAAATTCAAAGCTGGAGAATTAGAGAAAATTGTTGTTTATATCTTGAGATTTCACTTTTTTGGTTGGTTTTCTGATGGTTTTGCTCTTGTGTTCTAAAATGGGTGTTGAGAAATGTACTGTAGGAGTGTTTGGAATGTGAGAAGTTTAGTTTTTTATATACTTCAATCTGTTTTGTGTCTTTATCTTAATCATACCAATCAAAAATAACCAAAATAAATCCTCTTAAATCATGCAATTTTATTATTGTTTTAGATTTTGACTGATGAATTTTATTGCTTTTAAAAAGCAACTGATTTATGTATTCTCAATTTTTGCAGCTCGCTGAAAATGGTGTTGTCGTAATATCCAATATCATAGTGTGTAGATGATACTATGTGAATAGCCTTCAAGCTTCATCATCTCTTCAAGCTAGTTTGAAAGACTCTACAACTTGTTTCTTATCATCTGAATTGGCTTTTTTTGTGAACTTAGAGGAGCCGCTATCAATTCAGGTAACTTGACGGTATCTACATGGATCTTATTTCTTATTCTTGAAAATTCTCATATGTTTTTCTTGATATATTTTGTGACTTACTAGTTTGGCTATGTCCATTTATTGCTGAAAGGTATATGTGTATAGGTTGTAATTCGTACTCCGTAAATTGTCTTACTTTGTTGGTAAAAAAATATATGGAAATGTTGTAGTTCTTATATGGTACTTGTATTAAGTTGATTGTAAAAGGTGTAAGAATTATTGTTGTTTGTATATAGAAACGAGGGACAATTGTTTTTATTTTTGTAAGTTGTTTGGTAATTTTTATAAAATCTTCCTATTATAAGTTGCACCTTACTGTGTCTTTATGGTAGAAATTATACATTAGTGTATCTTTATGATAGCAAAAAGCAAACGGCTAAATATAGATGTAACTACAGGCTCTTAATTCTCTTTGAATCATTTGAATGACTCTCCTAATTCATAATAAATAAGGGGAATCCCAAAAGTCTTTAAAACTACTCATGGTATAAAGCTCTTGGTTGCTGGTGACATCATTCTATCGCAACAATGGCTAAAATTATAAGAATAGGGGATAAAATAGTGATGTTGAAGCAAGGCATCTTCTCCTTTTTTAAGGAAAAAATATTTGGGCAACAGTAGAGAATTCTTCTTGGTATTCCATAGATAATTACTGAAATTTATACGTAGGTGTTTAATTTGTGGATGATTCTTTGTTGAGTGATGCTTCAAATTTGGTTGTTTCCCATGGTAGCAGTGTGCATTGAATCTTTCTGAAAAGCAGTAGACTACCCAGTCATCCTTCAACACGAGGTACTAGCTAGCTGACACTTTTTTATCATATAAACGATTAAAGAGATCGTAGAAGCTATTTTTCAGTTAGCTAGATATATATGTAACGAAGTATAGAGAACTAAGCGACATTCTTCTGAGCTCGCATTTTCTCATTGCAATTAGTGGAACAGTTTTCATGTAAATACTTGTATGCGTCGTGCTATATTTTTTTAGTGTTCCTCACGGTATATACACAGATGTTTGGTTGCACTGACTCGAGATATCGATCATATGCCATTAGAGAAATTGTGCGTTGGATGTTATTGCAACCACTGAAATAGAAGGTTGTTATACTACTAAATCTTGGAGATAATTTGTTCCATCTCTGAGTTTTTCCTACATGATGTTGTTTGTAGTTAAGTGTACATCATTTACCTTTTTTACCCTGAACAACAAAGACTAGAGGTGCAATTATTTATTGTAGGAGTTTACTTCTTCATTGTGTAAATATTGATTTTCAGAATTTTGGCTGCTAGAAACAACCTCCTATATATGAGTTTAACTCGAGTAAAAACATATTTGCCCATGTAAATTGTAATGTTGAGAAATGCAAACAATCTGGCTGTAAATATCATTCATCATTACAAATTACAAGTAATCTGGCTGTATTTGGTTGAAGATAACCTCATTCATTATTTGTTTGTAGCAATCTATCAAGAATATCCGTTGTGAATGCTTTGTACCCTCTGCATATGAACTTACAAATTAGCTGATGCTCACATCCTGTCGTATTGCTTTCTGTCACCTCTGTTCTGCCTTCAAATTTGCACGATGTTTGCATGTTTCTTGTTAAGATCCTTATGTGAATCCCTTCCTGATGTGTCAATGAACCTTGTTGTGCTGATGTGTATGCCCAGTTTAACTCAAAATTGTTCGCTTTTTGAAGACTAAGTTGCATTGTTAGCTGCCATTTCCAGAACTGCTTCCAAGTGATGTTTTCGAGTTTAATTTCGTAATTTGGCCTTGTGTTTCCACCTAGAGTCTTTATATGCGTTGCTTCCTGTATTGTGGGAGACATGATCTGCATTGGAAAATTGTTCCACAACACAGCCCAATTACCCAGAAAAGATTGCCTAAACCTATTAGTTGCTATGCATATGTCCACGATGCTTGCCCATGATGTTTTCCTTACGTCTGTTTTCATGCTTATGCAAGCCACCTTTCCTTCTTCAAGGGAATGAGTACAAAGTACTGATACCACCCTTCGAAGTCGTAATAAGTGACGTAGCATTAATACATGAACTTTTCCCGTTTCTTTCGTAAGGTTGACTCTTTGTGCTGTCCAACACTTTTCGAGCATTATACTTCTGGTATCCTTTTTGCCTATTTCTTTTTCTGCTCCCACTGTATTTTCTTGATGTAACACTTCCTGATTTAGCAAAGTATCATGTTGCATTGATTCTTCCTCCCAGATTGTTTTCACCGTGTCCAAATTTGTGCAGCACAATAAGTGCTGCTCACGATCCCAGGCACGTTTCATTCTGCTGTTTTTTCCTTCTTTTCCTTGTAGTCTCCAAAAGATTCTCGTTGTATTCTTTGTGCATCTCTGGTCCTGAGTTACTGGATTAATGAACTTTTGGGTCCTTGTGTTATTCTGCTCCTTATCCATAGCTTTCATTCTTCTGTTTACACTTGATCCTTCTCCAAGGGAATGAGCTTGAGGTGCTACTTCACTTTGGAGTTGTATCCTGATGTAAGGTATTCTTACAAAGGTGGTCCCTGCAAAAATAGCAAACATAGTTAGTGAAACCCTCATTTCCGTGCTCTTCTCCATATGGATTAGAACATGGTAAATGAGTGACTGAACTCCTGCATAATAGAGTTCTCCCTCTGCATTATCCATTAAGCAGTAGATTTGTTGTTTTAAATCCGAGTTGTCAGGTGCACAGCTTGTCATCTTGAGTTGCATGTCCAAACTCTTCCAATACAGCTGATCTAGCTTGCCTTAGTACCTTGCTTATGATAGGAAATCTGTGTAGCATAATATCCCGTTTCACCTTTGTGTTTATGACTATCTGTGACTTCCTTTGTGTTTCTGCTCTTGATAATTTTCATTCCCTCTTTACCACTGCTACTGATATCTCTATTTGCTTCAAAATTGTAGTCATGATTCAAGAAGGGACAAGACAAAAGAAAAAAGTGAAAATTTTGACATTCGTTCAAGCTGGAACACTTACATCTTTGGCAAATCAGAAAAGGTTGATGCGGACCAGAAAAACGAATATTCCAGCTAGCTCTATACGGTTAAACGAAGAGCGTCAGGTTCTGAATAATTTAATGGAAGAACATCAGCTACTAATGCCACAACATCAGAGGGTAGGAGCCCATTTACAAAGTGATTCAACCACCCCTACAACACAATCAGTAGAGCAAGAAGTGCAATTGGATGCTAATGCTCCTACAGTAGATGAACAAGGTAAGAAAATTTAGATTTTACATTAAAGTATTGACATCCTATATCTATTTTACTAAATTGGAGGATACTTTTGATTTGTATTATTGTAGGATCTTGTACTAAAAAAAAGAAAAAGAGGTAAAACAAGGATGCTAAGTGTACATGGAAGGAGTAAACGTAAGTTAATTGTGGTCAATGAGTTTGGTCAGCCTGTTGGTCCTACTAATGATGTTGTGATGGAGTTTGGCAGCTTCCTCGGTACATTGACAAGGAATTCGACCTTTTGTCCTCTTGATATATTTGATTGGAGGAAAATTGACACAAAAGAGGATTTGTGGGAATATACAAAGGTTCTCAGTTCTCAATTTTATTTTTGGCTGAACATGCTTAATATTTTTGCACTAACCCATTGAAACAATTTGTAGGAAAAATATAATATTTTCGAAATTGCAAAAAAGTGGACTCTGGATGCAATTCAAGGTGCTTGGAGAAGGTATAAGAGTCAATTGAAAAAAGATCACTTTAAAGCATATCAAAATGATGAAATTCGAATGGAAAAAAAGCCTGAAAATATTTCAGCATATCAATTTAAGGAACTTCTCAAATATTGGAACTCTGATAAACACAAGGTATGTTTTTGAGAAACAGTTTCATTTATGTTAAGCTTTGTCAAGAAATATTCATGAAGGAAAAACAATTATTTTCCTTCTATGACAGTTTCGAATTGAAATTTATTATTTTACTTGTAGAAAATGTCAACAACTAATATTGAGAATCGGAAAAAGTTAAAGGATCCACACACTGCTGGCAAAAAAAGTTTTGCTATAGTCCGCAATGATTTGGTATCTGCTCTTTTTTATCATTAAATATGAACTTGTTATCATTTTTAAGAAGATATTTTATACTACTTTTAATGTGTCCAGGAAAAAGAGAAAGAAACTTCTGATCCACTATGACTTAAGGATATCTTTGTCGCTACAAGACAAAGAAAACCCGGTCGAACATACAAGGAATCGAATGAAGATACAACTAGAAAAATTGTGCGAATTCTTTATGTTTCTATTTTGTTTGGATGAAAAATATGTTCATACTGACTTTTTCTTTACTGGAATTCTCTCTTTTTTTATTTGTATAATAGGCTGAAATGGAGAGTATCGAAACACAACAAAGTGAAAATGGTGATNACTTGGACGAGGAGGTAGTTCCGGTGGGCCCAGCTCAGGTCCCAGAGGGGTTTATTGCTACCCCAGTTCTTCAGGACGCTCTGGTCCGATTGGTGGGGTCTCATGGAGAGTGTCACCCGTGTAGACTTGTTTCCTGTAGCACCAGCCGTCTCTCAAGATGGAGGAGGAGCCCAGACTCCTGCTACTCGCACTCCGAAGCAGGTAGCTCCCCAGACTCAAACTCCAGCAGTTCAGCCAGTTGGAGCAGCTCAGCCGGGCATGGTAGCCCAAGCCGGTGATGGAGCAACTATGTCTGCCGATGCTTTGTGGAGGTTGGACAGGTTCACCAAGCTCTTCACTACTACCTTCAGCGGTGCATCTACCGAGGATCCCCAAGATTACTTGGACAGCTGCTAAGAGGTTCTTCGGAACATGGGTATTGTTGAGACCAATGTGGTTGATTTTGCTACATTTCGCTTGTCTGGATACGCCAAGACTTGGTTGAGGGATTATTGCTTAGCTAGACCAGCATGATCGCCAGCCTTGACATGGGAGCAGTTCACACAGTTATTTCTGGAGAAGTTTCTCCCTATTACTCAGCGAGAGGCCTATCGGAGGCAATTCGAGCGCCTTCAGTAGGGATCTATGACAGTCACCCAGTACGAGACCAGGTTTACTGATTTGGCTCGCCATGCTCTTATTATACTTCCCACTGAGAAGGAGAGAGTGAGACGGTTTATTGATGGACTCATTCA